GCACTAGCATTGAGGCCCTGAATTCAACCCCTATGGATAGTGTGAATGCATGCACACATGTGTGCGTGCACACACACATACACAAAGTATGCAAAGCATTTCACCTACTATAATAAGGACGAACAACATTATATATGGGTCTTTTCTCTCACCTGAATATATGTAACAGAAAACTAAATTAAAGTGGTTTTACCAAGGTAGGAATTTTTTTCAAGTAAAGGATCCTGAGCAGTTACAATAGCTTCATAGCATCATCATCAATATCCCACACTCTTAAGACACTATTCACAGTGGCATTCATATGTGTGGTTTCAAGATGGTCCAAGAACTATTTTCACATTCCAAGTAGAAAGAGGAAAGGGCTCTGTGAGTTGATGCCTACCTACAATGTACTTCAGTGACACAAACTATGTCACATGGCCATGTGAAGTTATCAAAGAGTCTGAAAATAAAGCTGGACACACACTGCCATCCCAAGGAAAATCAGAATTCTATTGGAAAGGAAGAAGTAAAGGGATGTAAGGCATGAAATAGTTCTATCTGTCATAAAACCTTAACTTCAGTGGGAAGTTGTCCCCCATTCCCTTCCTTAACAGTTAATTCTAATTGTCTCAGCTCTGTCATCTGGGCTGCATATCACCACACCAAATCATGTCAGGAATTTGTGCTTCTCTTTCTAAAAAAAAATGTTAAAATTCTGGATTTATGTACAACAGAAGCCAGGAGCCCATTTTCTCAAAAATGTCTCTTTGCTTTTTGGGCCAGAGACAAATAGCCTATTTCCAACCATATCCTCATGTGGTTTATTTTAAAAATAACTCTTTGGCTGGGAATGTGACTTAGTGGTAGAATACCTGCCTGCCATTAATGAGGCCTTGGGCTCGATTCCTCAGTATCACATAAATAAAAAAGAAAGAAAGAACTCTTGAAAATATGCATTCTCACCTTAGCTGTTGAGGAGGATGAAGCAGGAGGATTAAAAGTTTGAGGCCAGCCTAGGGAACACAGCAAGGTCTCATCTCAAAAAACAAATTAGTTGGGCTGGGAAGGTGGCTCTGTGGTAGAGTGCTTGCCTTGCATGCATGAGGCCCTGGGTTCGATTCCTTAGCACCACATAAGCAAAAAGAAAAAAGCCGGAAGTGGCGCTGTGGCTCAAGTGGTAGAACGCTAGCCTTGAGCTGAAATGCTGAGGGACAGCACCCAGGCCCAGAGTTCAGGCCCACAACCGGACCAAAAAAAAAAAAATTAAAAACAAAAAAAACAAATTAGTTGATTAAAATTAAACATGTATTCTCAGTAGTGGTGTGAAACTGGCTCACTAGAGATGAAAACCTTCACAGATTCTATAATGGTTTGGGGAAAGGGCCCAGAGACACAAACAGATAATTCAGTATGGAAGAAGACAAATGGTGAAAGAAATGCCTAACAAGGCTGCTCAGGAAGAATTTTTTTTAACTTGCTTTTCAAGTAACAAACTAGATAGACAGTTTGAATCACATAGGAACTGCACTGAGTGACACTGACAGAAACCCAGTTACAGTAGCATAAACAAATAAGTGTCTATTTTTGTTAAATGAGAAGTCCAGAGTGAGGAAAGGAGGGGAACTGTTGTTCATTTTGGTTCAGCAATCCAATAACATAAAAACAGAATTTTCTGTGAGATTCGTGGCTTGTGGTACCAAGGTGAGAATGAAATTCTATGTCCATGTTCTAGATGGAAGGAAAAAGAGTTGTCAAGAACAAAAGGATGGCCAGGTATGGTGATGTGTATTCTTGTAATCCCAGTGATGTAGGAGGTGGAAATAGGAGGTAAGCCAGCCCAGATAAAAGGGTGTGACCCTATAAGACAAAGCAAAACAAAACCACAAAACTAAAAGTAAAAAAGAATTAACTATTATGACTCATGTGTACAACACATGAGATGAGACTCTGAGTTTAACCTTGGCACTGTCAAAGGGGGGTGGGGAGAGTAAAAGAAAAAAGAACAATAAGAAATCAGTTCCCAGTAACAAGCTTGCTGAGAAGTCTCATTAGAGAACCTCGTCTTACATCTCAATAAGCAAACAACATCAGGGAAAGCTGGAAACAAATCTGTCCTCTCTAAAAAAACAAGGCAAAAATAAAAACAAGCCAGAAAGAAAAGGAGAAACTCCAGTCTTCAAAAATCTGAAAGTTTTTTTGTGTTTTCTTTTCTTTACTGCCAGTCCTAGAGCTCGAACTCAGCACCTGAATGCTATCCCTGAGCCTCTTTGTGCTCATCTGAGTCACAGTGCCACTTCCAGCTTTTTATGAGTAGTTTACTGGAGATAAGAGTCTCATAGACGATCCTACATGTATATTAATTATTACAAATGAGGGAAACCATGGAGCCTGTATTTCTTTCGGTCTGGCTTACTTCACTTAATATGATTTTTTTCCCAAGTCTTCCAATTTCCTTACAAATGGGGCAGTGTCATTCTTTCTGATGGAAGCATAGAATTCCATTGTATATATATATATATATATATATATATATATATATATATA